ATGCATATAACAAAACTTTACAGTAATTTCCACAGAAAAATAAAACCACACAAGCATATGTATATAAACATGTATGTATATATATGTATATATATATATGTGTGTGTGTGTGTGTGTGTGTGTGTGTGTGTGTGTGTGTGTGTGTGTGTGTGTGTGTTTGTGTGTTTTTGCACTTAAACATTGAAATATTTACGTTATAAAATAATAGTTTTCATCAAAATAAACACTGACATGCCTTCTGCAGAAGCATTCATAATTTTAAACATTTACAAAACCGAAAATTTTATGTTTTCCAGATCCATGGGCATAAGTTACCTGAAAGTGATGCACGGGATTCATCCTTTTTTCCTCTTCTTGGCCCCACACTGCTGTTGTCTTTTTTCGGGCATAAAGTTGCAGCTTGCATCATTTATAAGCGGCAAACATAAGTGAACCTCGATTTCTCATGACACTGGGGCGCACCGCGCACGTATTCGCGCACAAAAAAAAATTATGTCACTTTTTTGCGTTCACCATAAAATGCATTTTTAAAATGTATTTATTTACATAATATCAATATATTTTTATTTACACTTTGTTTTTGTTAATATTACTAAATAAATATTTTATTTTGAGCAACCATGATGGTGCCCCCTTCCAGAATTGGTGCCCTACACAGCCTGCATACTCTGCGGTGGTACTGGGTAGCTATATTATATGAGAGACATGCTTTGTTTACCAAATAAATGGATCCAGTAGGATTTGCATTGTAAACATTAAATAAAAGTTAAAAATGTATTATTTTTTAATTTAACATGTTAAGTTTTTAGTTGCGTTACACCCAAAATCATTCCTCATAAAACCACAGATTTTTAACAATATTCTGCGCAGAAATAAAAATAAATAAATATCAGCAGATTCTGTCTGGATGTACTCATAAGTTAGTTGATGCTAAAAATCTTAAATAAAAAAAAATGTCTCCAACATATTGAATTGCCTTAGTGTAAGTACAGTACATTGACGGTACATTTTGGTTTGAACTGTTGTAACCCTTTAGGTTACAGTAAAAAGATGTTATACAATTTTATTTTACAACTTTAACAGCAATTTCAACTGGAATTACATTCATTTTTTTCCCTTAGAAAAGTACATGACAGCATCTATCATTGCATTTGTAGAACTAGTTGGTTTTGCCCCAAGATTCTTGGGTTAAAAACATCTTTCTGACCCACTTACTTGCAAGCCGCCCTAACCATGAAACCCATCTAAAATGCATGATGCAACAGCGCCTTTCCCCGCACAACCAAACACTTCCTGTCTGAATTCATGGAGAGATGGGCATCACCACTAGATTAAAACATTTTTATAGGCACATTCACTTCACAGACGTGTTTAAAACGTGCAGTTCTGCTCGAGGCAATGATGTGCTATCACGAAGTGTATTACTGAATGTTTCATCATGAAATTAGAGTCTCTTTGGTCTTCATTTAGCTGGTTAGTTATGACAGAACAGCCTTCTATAGATGAATCAAATCAGCCAAATATTATAGAATGGAAGTATCTCTTTGGTCTTTTAATTCAATCAGACAAAAGCACCAAATGCTCTACAGCTAGGATTTATTTTGATCTTTGATGGTTGTCGCCGGGTTTGGGCTTAGTTGAATTTTCCGTAATCTTTTTACATCTGCAGAAATGGAGCCTGTCCTCAGGCTCTGTGACACTGAATAGACTGAATGGCCTCAGGAAATTGTTGGACGCAGAATACGCTTCTCTGTTTTAAGCTTACAGAGCCGAACCACCTACAGTAGGAATCCAAGGACACAAATCTTTCTGATTTAGCCAGTGTCCCGTGCGGACCTCTAGCATCAGCACAATTGTCTCTGCCCTGGTCAGGCTGCCCATCATTTCTCTCTCTCTCTCCACCAAAACAATTTATACCCCGCTATTGACTGTAAATCTTAAAGCTTTATTAGCCATAGTTTATGAGTGGATGTGATCTGGGCACGACCAACTGATGGTTGTTGCACTTGCCCTGTGGATCGATCTGTTGTAGACAGACTGTATAATTACTGTGAGATGTGGATGATTAAATTGTGGCTCTATGAAGGTTCTGCACCCCCTGATGTACACCCCTTTAGGGCCGCCTCTAATGTGCTCGTTCCATTATTATTGTTAGCCAGTTGGTGAAGTGTGATGGATATTATCAAAGGTTTGCAATGTTGATGTCAGTCAAGATTTGGCAAAATTTGAGAAATTTACTTAAAATTTAAATTAGTCATGCCTTGCCAGTTGAATTGGAATTGGAAGTGGAGCTTGTAAAATATAAATAACATATAATGGCATCTGGGATATTATCTGTGAAATCTCATTAATCCACTCTGGTAAATAAGACATTTTGTTCTATATGTTTATTTCTGTAAAGCAAGAGTAATGTACTTTAAGAGCTAGCGATTGCAGCAATCTGTCATGCAGTGAGCACAGCGCTACTCCTTATCTTCAAAACTCTGCATAGACACTTAAATGGATCACACTTTTTTTAAGCTAATAGATTGACGGCCATCTAAAGCTCCTATTTGGGGTCGATGAATGGTAGGCAAGTGTTTGCGTGCGCTGCCTGATGTACTGTTACCTCATTACAGACATTATTGATCTGTTAATCATGAACAGCATGATTTACTTCACCATATCCTGTGGATTTAAAAATATTTAATAAAATCTGCTACTAAGCCACTTATTGCATTTTAGTCAACCAAGGCTCTCCTCGTTGAATAACGTTTGTCAATTGTTGGGGGCAGCCCTTTCTGTTACAGCTTTAGAGCTTTTAGTTTGTTTCTTTCTTTGAGTATTAGAGCTGTGGCGAAAAAAATTGTTTAAAAAATTGATTCTGCGTAGACTTTTTCAAAATGCATCTCTATTCTGTCCTGAATCGATTCTGAACTTATATTCAAATAAAAAATGGAGCACTACTCTGTAAAACCTAAAAAGTTAAGACCATTTGAGAAAACCAATTGAAACCATTAAAGTTCAAAAACGAATCCTAATGAGTACTGTGAACTTAATCCATTTGAGCAAATGAAGCATTTTGAGCACAGTAAAACCCCCAAAAAATGAAGAGAACTCAAACCAACTGAGTACTGTACAACCCAATAAGTTAAAGCAACTCAAACTGATTGAGGAAACCAATTGCTACAAATCATTTGAGTTAAAAAACTATAAATAAATAAATCTATATGAGTACTGTGAACTTACTCCATTAAAGTTGAAGTACTGAAGTATTTAATTAACTCATTACCTTTGACACTGAATTCAAAACTCTTTTCAAATGAGTAGAATGAACTTTCAGTAAGTTCTGAGTTAACTACACTCATTTCATTTGATAAAGTTGACTGTTGGGTTTTACAGTGTAGGCTAGTTGTTGGCCATACAGTACATTAAAATGCGCACAAAGAAAAGTGATTTTCTCATTAGTCATGTACATTGGATTTACTTCACAAGATTCATGGAAACACAGCTCACCATGAGCACTCCCTTAAAACTGTCCTTACTTTATTAATGATTATTTCAGGTTACAGGGGTGTTTGTATGGAATCGGATCGGATTGGCTGTTTGTAAGCCATTGTTAAAAGAAGCCCAGAATCAATTCAGGAAAAAATGGCGATACATTTTGAAAATCGCAGAATCTATGAAGAATGGATATCTCAAATGATTATTTTCCACAGCTCTATTGAATCTATTTACAAAAATCTTTTTGTTAAAAAATATCTGCCCCCAGAGTTGGGTGTAAGGCGTTCCACAGTAGTACGTTACTGTATTCTAATTACATTTTTGAGGAACACAGTAATGTACATTTTAAATTTGTGTAATTTGATTACAGTTACGAAACCCAATGTAATTCCGTTACTGACTTTACAATTATAGTTTTTAGAAGAAAAAAAGCTTCTTTTAAATGACGTTTTTTGCTGCAACATCAGTTAACATGCGCTTCTAAATTGCTGGAGAACACAAGCTGAAATGGTTGCTGTCGAGAGTAGCTGCATCTTCAAGTGGAAATACAAACATTACATTGATTTCACTGAGCGTAAAAACAAAAATATTGCTGTGAAATACAGTCTATGACAAGTCTATAAAGTACTTTTTAACTCGACTAGCAACTTTTTCAAGCACTTGAACAGAAAGCATTCCACGACAATACTCGTCACCGAGGGGGACACCAGCGCCCAAAAACACAGTGGCCTCACCCAGCCTAAACAGGCTAAATTGGATTTTTGTACAGGATTGGGACTAAAGGTGTCTTTCAAATGTGAAGAAAAGCATAGCTGTTCATATATCTCGTCTTTTGCACACTCTTACATTTCCCATGTGCACCGAGTTGAAAACTGATTTTTGATACTATGGATGTCAGTGGTTACTGGTATCCATTTTTTTCTGTCTGTTTTTTAATGTTTAAAAAAAGACTAACAGGTTTGGAAACAAATGAATTATGAGAGAATTCTAAGTTTTGGGCGAACTATCTCTTTAAGTCTTTTGAATATGTCAAGCTGCTGTGATCAACCCATTGCAATGTTTTTCAGTGATTAATTTTGCTGAAAGAGCTGCAGTTTATTTTGTATTTTTATAGGTATATATATATATATATATTTTTTTAAAGTAACTTCAAAGTAAAGTAATTAGTAATCTGATTATTTTTTACACTAAGCAATTAGTAATGTTATTAGATTACAATTTTCCAGTAGTAGTCAGTAATTTGTAATCGATTACTTTTTAAATCTAACTTACCCAACACTGTCTACAACAAGCAAATGTTTAGTTGAAAACTATTCAATTATTGTGTGGAGTTTCTGTTTGATTATATGTCTGCATTCAAATTGCAATTCAAATCAAATACAGTCAGCAATTAAACGGAAATCAAATGAATAACACACAACTCTTATACCTGTCATGTCAAAATCTGAAACATTGTTCTTTTGTCTAGCTAACAAAAATATCTACTTTTTTTCTAATGTAATGCTTATTTCTTCCAGAATTCTGCCAGTCCTGCTGCAACAGGCTCTACCGCCCCTGTTACAGGCTATCGGCGCATGGTGATTCCAACCCAACCCCCTCTTACCGCCACCAAGAAATCCACCCCGAAACCACAGGCGCCTCAAAACGTCACTCCACCAGCTTCATCTTCTCCAAGACCCCAGTACCAGCCTGCACCCCAGCCTGTTCCAGCATCCTACACCACCGCCTCCACACCGAGCCAGCCCACCTTCAATGTTCAGGTGAGGGCTGCTCAGCCTGCCCCTCAGCAGCAACCGGTGCGTGGTCCAGGACAGGTACAGTACATGCCGGCTCAACCCAGAGCTCCAGAATTCGCATATGGGCCTCCACAACCTGGATTCTGCCCTGCTCCATCTGGAGGCTACCAGGACCAGCATTATGGTGGAGCTCCTGGTTATGGAGGACAGAACACATGGAGGGCTGAACCGAGCCACCACCCTGCTCCAACACCCAGCCAAGGGTACCAGCCCGCTCCTCCCAAAAAAACCTACATCACTGACCCTCCTGCCAGCCTGGCACCCTTCGCTGGTGGGTCCTCTGCTCCTCATAAGGTAAGGGCCTCATTTATGTTTCACATTACAGTAAATCAAACAGAAACAGCTGGAGGAGGAAATCTATGAAAAGAGGAATTAGAAAAGCCTTCAGGCCCTTAATCAGTTTTCCTATTTTATTGAATCTGTGAAATTAGGTTCTCTGCATTACATGTGTTCTAAAGTACTGAGAGTCAAATTGAACTGTTTTAAAATGGCATGCAGACGTCTGTGTCACAGAAAGGACAAGATTCTTTAAAGGACAGAATTCTTTAACTGTTGGCTGCTACTGGTGAATGGCTAAATAACTATCATATTTTCTAGATTAAAAATATGCAGGGATCATTGTTCAAGCTGTGAGTCTGTGGGCTAAATGGAACGCGAATCCAAAGACGTTAATGTAAAAAGAAAAGTTGATTAATAATGATAATAACTATTATTATTATTATAATTATAGGGTCATGGTGTCGTAGTGGGTAGCACGATTGCCTCACAGTAAGAAGGTTGCTGGTTCGAGCCATGGCTGAGTTATTTGGCATTTCTGTGTGAAGTTTGCACGCTCTCCTCATGTTATTGTGGGTTTCCTCTGGGTGCTCTGGTTTCCACCACAGTCCAAAGACATGCTATAGGTGAATTGGGTAAGCAAAAAATTTCATAGTGTATGTGGGTGAATGAGAGTGCATGTGTGTTTTCCAGTGATGGGTTGCAGCTACTGTAGAGGGGCATCTACTCTGTAAAAACATGTGCTGGATAAGTTGGCGGTTCATTCCGCTGTGGCAATCACAGATTAATAAAGAAAAAAATGAATGAATGAATGAACGAACGAATGACTAATATTATAATATTATACCTATAATAATAATAATATACTTATAATAATAAGCACTTAAGGACTTAAACGTGTTAATAGACTCGAAAATGGTTCCAATCCTTTAATTTGTTTTAGAGAAATGTCAACATCAGCAAACAACATCAAGTTGATACAGTCAAAAATGAAAAATAATAAATATGGTATTACATCAGACCCTTTTCACACATTTAACAGTCATCAGCATCATAAATCCTCAAAAGTTTTTATTTTTATTAACATTAACATGCAGTATGTACATTTAGAAACTATACTGTGTATTATATCCTCTTTGGATCAAATAAAAAAAATGGTTCTGATGGCGCTTATCAATCTTTTTTGAAAGTCATCAAGTGTTTCTTTTGCTATTTGAGCAAATTGGATAGCAAAAAAACAAGAAAACAAAAATTGTGGTAGTGTCCTGTTCGCTGCAATCTACGATTCTTAAGGGTCTATAACATTAAAAAGAGTATGACTAAATTGAATCAAGTAATCAAATGGTAAAATAAAACACAGCATATTCTTCTTGACATGAATTAAATATACAATAATTCTGAGCTTTCAATTAAAACAAACACGACTGACTGTAAACACGAACACATGCCAATATGTAAATTTTGACATATTGTTTGGTGTAGAGATAATTAATCCAAAAACAAAAAAATCTGTCATAATTCCCCAACTCTCCACTTGTCCCAAATTGGTTTGAGTTTCATCTGTTAAATAAAAAATAGGGTATTTTGAAGAATTTAGTTTTTTTCCTATTATGGATGTCTATCGATCTTCAAACTGTCTTTTTTTTTTTTTGTATTTAACAGAAGTATGTGTTTAGTAAGGGTTTAAATATATTTAAGGATGAATAAATGTTTTAAATAAATTATTATTATTATTATTATTATTATTATTATTATTATTATTACTATTATTCATTCATTCATTCATTTTCTTTTCAGCTTAGTCCCTTTATTAATCTGGCGTCACCACAGCGGTATGAACTCATTCACACACATACACTACGACAATTTTAGCTTTACTCAAATCACCTGTACCGCATGTCTTTGGACTGTGGGGGAAACCGGAGCATGCAAAGGAAACCCACGCGAGCGCAGGGAGAACATGCAAACTCCACACAGAAACATCAACTGACCCAGCCGAGGCTCGAACCAATGACCTTGCTGTGAGGCAACAGAACTAACTACTGCGCCACTGCATCACTATTATATTATTATTATTATTAATATTATTATTATTATTATTATTATTATTAGAGGTGTGAACCTACGCTGGTCTCACTGTTCAATTCAGTTACAATTATCATGTCAGCGATTCGATTCAGTTATCTCGGTGCATCACGGTGCATTGACAATGCTTTCCATACACAATTTAATATCTTCTTCATAGCACAGCAATTCTTTTATTGAAATGTATAAATATATTTATAGTTGTATACTGTTTGAAATACAATTTAAGTAAGTTACAAAAAGTACAAGTAAATGCACAGAACAACATGAGCATTTATAACTAATAAACAAATATAAATATCCCACTCGCTTTCCAAGCCTTGTCTAGTGGGTTCTTTCTTACACCCCTATGATTGGTCACACCCTCAACAGAAAGGGCTGCGATTGGCTTTTACGCGCTGGCGCTGTTCACTGATAAGTGAGACTGATAAACGGCAGCGGCGATCACGGCTAATCCATGACAGACGCGGAGGAGAAAACTCGCTCTGCAGACACGGGCTCGTGTCTGTATCCTGAAACTGTAACAGCTGAGAGGAGAGGAAAGTCACACCAGCAGGTCAAATTGGCCTAAGTGAGAGAGAGAGAAATGGAGTTTACTTTCATTTCCTCCATAAGAGTGAAATAGGGGCTTCTGCTGTAAGTGTCAGTGAAAGACTGTCCAGCAAACACACACGCAGTGAAATTGTGCACAGTTTCTGTGTTTTTTAAGTAGTTGGAGTGTAAATACTCGCGCTTGCCTCCCTTGCCATAGTAAGCAACTGCGACAAAGCGCATTTGAGATAAATGACATCAGTACACAATAACCGGTTATGATTATTACTGAACCGATACCGAATTGTTCGCATCTGCATCACATCACCAAAAGAAACAATCAATTTTGACACCCCTAATTATTATTAGTATTCATTTATTTATTTTCCTTCAGCATAGTCTTTATTTCAGAGGTCACCATAGTGGAATGAGCCACCAACTATTCCAGCATATGTTTTACACAGCAAATGCCCTTCCAGCCAGAATCCAGTATTGGGAAACACCTATACGCACTCATTCACAATCACACTCATACACTATGGTAAGTTTAGTTTATTCAATTCACCTATAGCGCAGTTCTTGGACTGTGGGGAAAACCGGAGCACCAAAGGAAACCCACGCAAACACGGGGAGAACATGCAAACTCCACACAGGAATGCCAGGCCCAGCCGGCACTCGAATCAGCGACCTTCTTGCTGTGAGTCAACAGTGCGAACCACTGTGCCGCTGCTATTATTATTAGTGTAGTTTTCTTAACTATACTTTTAAGCACATATCCCATATCCCAAAGAGTAAAGTAGCCTGTACTTGTCTGTATTTCAATTGCCCTTGGAGCTACTACAAGTGCACATTTAATCTGGTTAACCACATTTATTTTTCTCTCTGGACCCATTGCATTGGCCTGTATATGGGAATGTAAAACTTGCCAAAAACTTGGTTTTAGGACTGGCTTAATGGTCAGATGAAACCAAAATAGTCCTATTAAGATGTTATGTTTTGATGTTATACAATGTGTGAACACCAGTCTCATAGTTGTCATATTCAACATCATATTAATTTAATTGTGCGTTTTTGTTTTCTTATTTAAATAGGACCAGTTATGTTCTTCAAATGCATTATAAGGTTTAAAGGTCTGAACACAGATTAAGGATCTGATTGTTTTTGGGAGACAGAAGTGATCTAGAAATTTCTAAATGGTCTGATCGTTTTTCTGCAATAAGAAAGACACACAAACACACAGCTATCCTTATTCTTTGCACGTTGAAAAATTCATGAAAATGCTTTGAAAGTGTGTGTCTGTGTGTGTTGTTTGTGTGTGCATGAATGAATAATACATATGTGGTAATTAATTATCTGTGTTTGTGTCTTGTGATTGTGTATTTAAACTTGTAGCTTGTGTATTTTATGATTTATTGATTGTGCATTAGAGAGCGAGAGCATTTTCAAAGGCTGGTTAGCATACAAAACATGCTCGTATTTAAAATTAAACCTTGAATCTTTGCTCAGTCATAACAGCTCATTTAGAGAAACAGCTTGCGTTAGTGTCACAGAAACCCACCAAGAACTCGGTTTCGCATTTTACAAAGATGTGTTTGTGTGTGTATGTGTGTTAAAGACTTTGAGTGAGTGTAAGTGGCTTATAAGCAGTACAGTGTATATGTGTACACTACTTTACTTAGCGTTTATGATTTAATTGCTTCGGATAGCAATACAACAGGGAGTTTCTTTGCATTCTTCATTGAAATCTTCAGAATAAACAGTTATTTTAACCTTTATGAATTGTTAATGCTGCTTCTCTGTGGGGCTTTACACTTTCTGACTCTATTTGTCTGAATAAAAGCTGAATGTTTATCGTATCTTACCTCACACATTCACACATCTCTCACTCCTTTTCCTTTTCCTCTCTCTCACTTTCACTCCCTCTGCTTATTTCTTCCCATTTGACATCTTGTTGCAACTTATTATTTATTGAAGCAGAAAAGAGGATGCCTTTCAGAAAAGATTTATATTTGTTTTTTGACTTTTTGTCAGTTTACAGTAGCTGGTCTCTTTAGTCTTATTCGTCTAGTAGACTTTCGACCAGTATGGTATTGGTCCAAGGTTTGGCTATATGATTGTTCATGCTCGATGATGTGCCCATTTGGGGTTTTCAAACACGAGGCCACAAATTTGTACCATTTTCTTTCTGAATACTGGATTTGGTTGGCTGGAATGGGTCATTTGCTGAATGTCTCTAAACCCTTTATACCATGAGACTGTTGATGAATGGTGTGCAATTTACAGTTTTCATGTGACGCAACACCATTATGGGAACACCCCCGTGGTGGGCAAAACACTATTGTCTCCTGCTGACCATCAAGTCACAGGTTGAGTGATTTATCTTTGTTTTAGCCAAAAAGCTA